CAGTTTTACTTCCTTACCATTTGTTCGTTGATTATGTAAATGACATTATATTCGTTGCTAACAACATCAAAGCAATGTTTTTTTTTGTTACTTCATCACCATCATCAATGACTCTCGCTTTGGCAGTGTTCTTTTTTCTTGCTCATTCTTTCAAATCATAACGAAAGAGTTAAAACAACAAAATATTCAAGTGATTTTTTTTTTTTTATTGAAAAATGTATTATAAAATAAAATTCTGTTTATTTCTCAAAGGGTATATGCCTAGTTTATGTAAACACTTTTGTCGAGGGTAAAGGTGAGGAAGATAAGTTTTTCTTCCAAAAATATCGTTCCTAGAGCTCAGTAGAATATCTCGACAGTGCGCATGATAATATCTAATAGAGAAAGTCCTCCTTTACAAGTCTACATATGTCCTATTGTTTGATCAAAATCTTATAATCGCCTTTAATATAGGAACTACATTTTGAAAAAAACCACGCATCCTAATCTGACTGAAGTACTCATTTAAATTCAGATTGGATGTACCATGTAAAAGAAAATTTTCGGTTTTTTCTTTTTGTTCAAAAATTAATTTGGAGAAAAACGCAAAATTATATTTAATCAACAACTGATTAAAGACTCATGCTATCTCATGTTCTCCTTTGTAATATTTATTATCAACAGTCGAATAAGATTTTATTTATTTTATAAAACAAAAATTACAATTTATCTATGTTATTATTCTTTGTGATTTTGGTTGCATTCGTTCAAGTTTCCAATCATCTGTTGAGATTATTTTATATGAAATTTTCATTGTTTCTTTTCGATTTGGACATAAATTTAATTGATCAAGAAATTTCTTTAAACAATTAGAAAAATTTCGGTTTTGATTTAATGTTTCTGTATCAAGTTGAAAAGCAATAGAATAAAATACTTCAAGATTATTTAATCGATATTCAATTGAATTTTGTGTTTGTATATTTAAATGACATTCTTCTTCACAATCATTTATAAAATGTACTAGACGT